GTGTATATATTCAATTATATATATATATATATATATATATATATATTGATGCAATGATACAGAGCAAAGCAAACAAACAGCTAAATTAGTTAATTAAATTAGAAGTAAATAACTTGTATAAGATAAATAAAACGAATGAAGTAAGTAAATAAAGACTTTGAATAAGATTTGTTTTATGTGTGTTTATATATATATTATATATATAGGCTGGGCATCATGAAGACCACAGCTATTTTATGTATCGTTCAACATGCGGAGGCTGCTGCGATTGCGGAGACAGCAGCGCTTGGGCCCCTTCAGGTTTTTGTAGATATCATTCAGGAAAGGAGCAGCAGCAGCAGCAGGAGCAGCAGCAGCAGCAGGTGCTTCAGCCGCAGCAGCAAGTGCTGCTCTTATTAGTACTCAGATTAGCTGCTAGATATCTTGTTTCTCTCATGCATAATAAAGATTTTTCTGCATTTGTTTCTCTTTCAAATGCTATTAAAAATCTTCTTGAAGGTCAAGACATTACTCGTCGTTGCTGCGGAAGTGCTTTCTTAGAGCCGTTATTAGGGACACCACTTCCTGCTGCTGCTGCTGCTGCTCCTGCTCCTGCTGCTGCTGCTGGTGGTCCTGCAGCAGCAGCAGCAGCAGCAGCAGAAGCAGCAGCAGAAGATGAAGAAGAGCTCCGATGGAGTTTCGATGAATTCAGCAATATGCAATTAACAGCACAAGAGCGGCTGTCTGTTCTTCCTTGCTTTTGTTTATATGAGGGTCTCTGGTGTCTATGCAGCAAAAGTTTATTTAAATTTATTAATCCTCAGCAAGACGAAAATAATACATTTGTATTCAACCCCTTGCTGCACATCAATGCAGCAGCAGCAAATCCAGCAACAACAGCAGCTGCACCATCAACATCCGCAGCAACAACTGCAGCAGCAGCAGCAGCAGGATCAACAGCAGCAGGAGGATCAGCACCAGCAGCAGGATCACCAGCAGCAGCAGCAACAGCAGGATCACCAGCACCAGCACCAGCAGCAGCAGCAGCAGCAGGATCACCAGCAGCAGCAGCAGCAGCAGCAGCAGTGACTGGGGGAGAGTTTGACGATGATCAAGACTGGGAGTGTGCAGAAGAAGGTAAAAATATTGATTTCGGCTTTCTTTTAGGTTTGCGAGGCCCCGATACTCCGCTGTATATACAGAAGAAGTTAAAGAAACATCATTATCAGCCGCCCCCTGCTGCTCGCTTCTTTGATGTTGCTGCTAGTGTTGCTTCTGATGAAGAGCCTCTAAGACAGCCCTCTCCTGCTACTGCTGCTGCTGCTGCTGCGGCTGCTGCTGCTGCTGCTGGCACCACCAGCTACGGTCCATACACCTACGTGCCTTCACCGGCAGAGGCTGCTGCTGCTGCTGCTGCTGCTGCAGCAGCAGCAGCAGCAAATTCAGCAACACAAGACCTCAGCCGTCAGCAAGTAGAGCTTCTTATGGATTTATACTGGAGAGAATCTGCATTGACAGCCAGACGCAGATCTTCCTTCAGCAGCAGCAGCAGCAGCAGCAACAGCAGCAGCAGCAGCAGCAGCAACACCAGCAGCAGCAACTCCAGCGGGCTCAGTTTCCGGGACAGGTTGCTGTACAACGGTAGCCGCCGCAACAGCAATAGCAACAGCAGCAACAACGACAACAGCAGCAGCAGCAGCAGCAGCAGGCCTGTTGACGGTTCGTTTGACAGCAGCAGTTGGAGCCTGATGCCGAGCAGCAGCCGCAACAACAGTAGCATCAGTAGCATCAGCAGCAGCAGCAGCAGCAGCAGCAAGTACTCTGCTTCTGCTTGCGCAGTGCTGCTTTCTTGGGGGCATGCAGCAGCAAAAGCAGCACACGGATCTCTAACGCGTCTCTGGCTGGCACTGATGTTTGATGAAGAAACAAAAGAAAGATTTGCTGTTGTATTTATGCAGCTGTATGTACACCTGGTACTAGTGCAAGACGCCGCATTAGAGCGTGTAACAGTGCAGGTTTTGAGCATTCGTTTGCTGCTGCAGCAGCTGCTGCAGACAAATATGCTGCTACCTAATTTGTTCGCCAGCAAGCAGCTGCTGCTTCAAGCCGTTTCATTTGAAGGCCTTCCTCCGTTTTGTATTAATATTCAACATCCTCTGTTAAAGCAAAGAAGCTATATTACTTCTCTTAATGATATTCGATATCTGCTTGCAGAGAAGGACATACTTGCTCAATGTAAGCATCTACCAGCCCCTCCTACGCCTGCTGCTGCTGCTGCTGCTGCTGATTGTGCTGCTGCTGCTGATTGTGCTGCTGCTGCTGATTGTGCTGCTGCTGCTGATTGTGCTGCTGCTCCTTCTGCTGCTGTTTCTGAGTGTGCTCCTTCTGATTCTGCTGCTGCTCCTGATTGTGTTGCTGCTGCTGCTGCTGATTGTGCTGCTTCTTCGGATTCTACTGCTGATTCTTGTGTTGTTGATTCTGCTGCTGCTGCTAATTCTGCTGCTGCTGCTGCTGATTGTGCTGCTGCTGCTGTTTTTCTTTTCATCCATGTATATACGCATTAATAATATGTTTATTTGTCTCAATCTACATACATACACACACATATATATATATATATATATATTTATTTATTTATATTTATTTATTTATTTAATTATTTGATTTATTTTTGTGTTCTGTTTGCTGCAGACATGCGCGGCTCACCTTCTCGAGTGCGCATGCTGCTATCCGGTGGTTTCCTTGCTTTGTTTATGTTAGGAGAATACTGCAATGAGAGACAAAGAGAAGAATATATGCATATTGAGTTTGAAGATGAAGCCTTGTGGTCTTCAGGTGTATGCTTATCTATTGATCTAGGACAGAGTACAGCAATCTTCGCTGATTTGCTGCTGTCTTTACCCTGGAGAGCAGCATATTGTATATTTAAAGCTGTTGATAGACGCCTGAGGTTCTGGTTGGTTGCTGCTAATGAAAAAGAAAGAAAAGATTTTAATATTTTTAATATCATCAGAACGCAGCAAGGCATTCATAGCGTACTCTTTCAGTTGCAGCAAAGACATCATAATAATCATGCTCTCTTGCTGCGACCCTTCAGTGAGATCTGCTGCTCCTCTTGCTGCTACTGCTGCTGCTGTTGCTGGTGATGCTGCTCCTCTTGCTGCTGCTGCTGCTGCTGTTGCTGGTGATGCTGCTGCTGTTGCTGCTTTTGCTGCTGTTGCTGCTTTTGCTGCTTTTGGGGTGCTTTTGCTGCTGCTGCTGTTGATGGTGGTGCTGTTGCTGCTGCTGCTTTTGCTGCTGCTGCTGTTGGTGCTCATGCTGTTGCTGGGGATCCTGCTGCTGCTGTTGCTGCTGTTAAACAGGGGTTGCTAATACCATCCTGCTGCTCCTTTCTGCTGCTGCTGCTACTTTCTGCTGCTGCTGCTGCTATTTTCCGTTGCTGCTGCAACTTTCTTTTGATGCTGCGACTTTCTTTTGCTGCTGCTTTGTGCTGCTGCTGCTACTTTCTGCTGCTACATCTTTTTGCTGTGGTTGCTGTTGCTGTTGCTGTTGCTGCTGCAGAGTTGCCTGGAGGTCGCTCTGATGACTACTTTTGCAGTGTACATCCAGTCTCTCTTTACCTCCCTCTACACCGCCTGTACTTTTCTCTTCTTACTGCTCTTATTGTTCATCCGCAACGAGAAGAAGCAAATGCACGCAGACTCCAGAGGCTGCACCAGCTGCGCCAGCAGCAGCAGCGGCAGCTGCTGCAACAGCAGCAGCAGCAGCAGCAGCAGCAGTATAAGATCCACTTCCCAAATCAACCGCAATATCCGTACCCTTATGAACAGCAGCACAACCAGCAGCAGCAGCAACACCAGCAGCAACACTACTATCAGCAGCAGCAGCAAAACCAGCAGGAGCAGGAGCAGCAGCAGCAGCAGCAGCAGCAGGAGCATGTAGATCCTTTGCTGGAGGTGTTGTACGGGTTGTTGGGTCTGACAGCGACTGATATCCTTCATCTTTCTTCGCGCCCTCTCCGTGCACTGACTGTCTATCATCAAACGGCTAACGGCATCTGGAGACGAAATGGGTAACCTGCTGCTGCTGCTGCTGCTAATGCTGCTGCTGCTGCTGCTGCTGCTGCTGCTAATGTTAATGCTGCTGCTGCTGCTAAAGCTGGTGCTGCAAATGCTGCTGCTGCGGCTAATGTTGCTGCTGCTGTTAATGCTAATGCCGCTGCTGCTGCTAAAGCTGGTGCTGCTAATGCTGCTGCTGCTGCTAATGTTGCTGCTGCTGTTAATGCTGCTGCTAATGCTGCTGCTGCTGCTAAAGCTGCTGCTGCTAATGCTGCTGCTGCTGCTAATGCTGCTGGCGCTGCTAATACTGCTGCTGCTAATGGTGCTGCTAATGCTCCTGCTGCTGCTAATAGTGCTGCTAATGCTGCTGCTGCTAGTGCTGCTGCTGCTAGTGCTGCTGCTGCTAATGCTCCTGCTGGTTCTGGCAATGCTGCTTCTGCTGCTGCTGCTGCTAATACTGCTGCTGCTAATGCTAAAGCTGGTGCTGCTATTGCTGCTTCTGCTAATGTTGTCTGTGCTGCTAATGCTGCTTCTGCTGCTGAGGCTGCAGCTAATGAATGCTGCTGCTGCTGTTACGAATGCTGCTGATTCGGCTAATGCTGCTGCTGCTGTTGCTGCTGCTGCTGCTGCTGCTTTTTTTTTTTAAATTTTTAAACGGATGATATATTATTAAACATGATATAAATATAAATATATAAATAAATAAATAAATAAATGAATAAATAAATATAATTATTTAATGTATATTTATTGCTGTCAGGACATCGTTTTATCAAGAATGTCTATGCTATAGACGAGCTTTCTATCAGTCCGTTACCTTCGACGTTGATATGAAATCGCTGAGGCTGCTGCTCTGCTCTTTGCCTCCTTCGCTTTCTTTGCTGCTGCTGCTGCTGAGGTAAGAAGACAGTATTATTTTTATTGTTATTATTATTATTATTTTTATTAGTGTTATTATTTTTATTATTATTATTTTTATTAGTATTATTATTTTTATTATTATTATTATTATTTGTCTTTCTTACAATTGTTGCTTTAAGATTATTATTATTCGGTGTTGTTATTTATATAAATATATATATATATATTTATTTATATATTTGTTTATATATTTGTTTGTATATTTATTTATATATTTATTTATTTATTTATTTGTTTAATAGTTTCAACTATTATTATTTAGTAGAATTGTTTGTTTTAGGCGTATTATTATTATTATTCAGTCTTGTTTTGTATTTGTATATATAATTACTAAAAACTTTATTATATTATTCATAATAATTATTAATTATTAATATATATTCATAAATAATTAATAAATATTTTATATTATGGTTTACAAAACTAATTTATTATTATTATATATTTATAATTAATTATTAAATATGTATACAAAGCTTCATATGCTTACGAGGAGTTGTGCTAGTCTTTGTTTTCTTTATAATAATAATAATAATATAAGAATAATAATAATATTAATAATATTTTTATTATTATTACTAATAAAGATGCTAATGATGCTGTTTCTGTGCTTTTGCTGCTAATGCTGCTGCTGCTCTTGTTGTTGTTGCTTTTGCTGCTGTTGCTGCTGCTGTATTCAGGTCGGAGCTGCCTTTAGATTTATCAGTGGTGTTTGCAGCAGGACGCCGCAGCAGCATCGCTGAGCCTCCCACAGATACATACCTCTGCAGCAGCAGCAGCAGCAGAAGCAGCAGCAGCAGCAGCAGCAGCAAGAGGACGTTAGAGGTGCATACAGAGGAGGTATCAGAATACATCCTACAGCACATGCATGGGTTTGTGCTGCTGCTGCTGCAGCTGCTGCAGCCTATGAATTCTTTATTTCAATCTGAAGTAGATGTCTTACGAAGCTTGCTGCGGCACCAACTTATGAAGGGGCCTCAGACGCATAGCGCGCTGCAGGATATCATCTGCTGGCCTTATAAACAGCAGCAGCAGCAAACACAACTCATCGACTCTGTTCTCGCAGAGGTAAACTACTAATATCTGCTGCACCTGCTGCTGCTGCATCTGCTGCATCTACTGCTGCTGCTGCTGCTGCTGCTGCACTGCAATAGCACCACTGCAGCAACACAGCAGCAACAGCAGCACAGCAATATATATATATATATATATATATTATATGCATGTGTTTATTACTTGATAAGTATGAAGCCTTGATGTGTAGCAATTGTTTGATATGCGAATGTAATAGACTAATCGTATATATTGATATTATTTGTTTTGTTTGTCTGTGCAGATTAGCAGCTACAGTGCAGCACGGGAGTTAACCCCTGGACAGTTTGTGCTGCTGTCAAAGGAGTGGAGGCACTACGATCCTCATTGTGCTGTTTTCTCTTGGGTTGAGTTTGAAGTATTAGAAGAAGAGTTTGCTGCTGCATTAAAGGCGAATAAAGGTTTGCTGCAGCAATGGCTGCCCCCTGCTCCGCTGTCTCCGCCTATACCACCTGTTTATAGACAAGGGTTCTTCAGATTTGCTGCTGGAAGTGCTGCTCGAGCTGTTGTCATGCTACTCCTGCTGCAGCAGCTCCTGCTGCAGCTGCAAGACTCTAGATATCTATACTTAACCCTCTCTCTACTCCTAAGGCTCATGGCTTTAGAGGCTCAAGCGCAGCAGCAGCTACCGCCCAATGAGCTGCAGCATCTGCAGCAGCAGCAGCAGCAGCAAGACGCACTCGCAGCCTTCCTACGTCTAAATCCACATATTGCTCGCACACTTGCTGCAGCAGCAACACCACCCAACAGCAGCAACAGCAGCAGCAGCAGCAGCAGCAGCAGCAGCAGCAAGAGCAGCAGCAGCGTGGATGAAGAGACAGTGTCCCGTGCAGTTGCAGCAGCAGAAGACTTGGGTTTGTTAAGTGTGCTGCTGCAGCATACTGACTTTCTTAATGTCTCGCGCTGGGCTGGCAGCAGCATAACGTCTTTGCTGCTGCGCTCCTTCACTTTGACGCATGCATGGACGGAGATGAAGCCTGAGGAAGAACAATCTCTCCGCAAAGCAGCAGAAGCAGCAGCAGCAAACACCAGCACCAACAGCAGCAGCAGCAGCAGCAGCAGCAGCAGCAATAGCAGCAGCAGCAGCAGAAGCGTTAAGGAGATGCTCTTGGAAGTTACGCAGGAAGACTCGGATATATTAGGCCTTATAAAAACAACGAGAAGAAAAGCTGCTTCACTGAGGCAGCAGCAGCAGCAGCAGCAACAACAGCAGCAGCAACAGCACCAAGCAAGTGCTGCTGCTGCTGTTGCTGCAGCACGTCGTGCGAGGGACCCCTTCGCCTTTGCTCGTAGGGAGGTTGCAGGTGCTCAAGTGCGCCGCCAGCAGCAGCGGCAGCACCATCAGCAGCAGCAGCACCAAGCGCATCAACAGCAGCGGCTGCAGCAGCACCACCACTACCACCAGCATCGCCAGCAGCATCAGCAGCAGCAGCAGCAGCAGCAGCAACTCGAGCAAGAGGCCTACCCAGAGCCAATGGAGGCTGCAGCCTTTGATGGTCCTTCAGGCGCCTCTCCAGCCGCAACGCAGGAGCAGCAACAGCAGCAGCAGCAACAGCAGCAGCAGCAGCAGCAGCAGCAGCAGGACGGCGAGCGCTATGCCAGCTGGCTGAGGCGGCGGCTTCGTTTATTTACTGCGTGGCCTCTCAGCAGCAAAATAACAGAAGGCATATTGGAGTGTATACCTGAAGAGACGAGAGACAAATCTAAGAGACCTCTTCTTCTTATTAACGATGTAGGGGAGGTGCTGCACGATCGCATGCAGGAGCAGCAGCAGCAGCAACAGCAACAGCAGCAGCAGCAACAACAGCAGCAGCTGCAGCAGCAGCAGCAGCAGCAAGGCATCCCTGATCCGATTGATCTCGGGAGTGAGGCCTACAACAGGTATGTGCGCGGATTGCAGCAGCAGCAGCAACAGCAGCAGATGGTTGTGCAGCAGCTGCAGCAGCAGCAGCAGGAAGACGAGGACCGTATGCAAAGCGACTCAGCAAAGGTTCCTCACCAGCAGCAGCAAGAAGAGGAGCAGCAGCAGCAGCAGCAGCTGCAACAACAGGAGCAGCAGGAAATGTACTTCTGCGCAGCAGCAGACAGCTCGAACACCTCGGCGGCTGCTGCTGCTGCTGCTGAAGCTGCTGCTGCTGCGGCTGCTGCTGATGTTGCTGTTCCGGAGGCTGAGTGGCTATGGACTCGGATCTTTGTGCGAGATGAAGCAGCGAGCGAGCCGCAGCAGCAACAGGCAGTAACAGCAGCAGCAGCAACAGCAGCAGCAACTGCTGCTGCTGCTGCACCACCGGGTCTGCAGCAGCAAGTCCCTCCAGAAGAACTCCAAAGCAGGCTGCTGCGGCGGACGCTGCAGCTGCTGGGCTTGACGGGGGTGCGGCAGCTGGAGCAGCAACAGCAGCAGCTGCAGCGAAGGAGGCGCGCGCAGCAGCAGCAGCAACGGCAGCAACAGCAGGAGCAGCAGCAGCAGCAGAGGCGCAGGCGGGAGCGCAGCAGCAGCAGTAGCATGAGCAGCAGCATGAGCAGCAGCGGCAGCGACAGCAGCAGCGAGCTGCGCATAATGACGGATAACCGCGAAGCAGGAGCAGCAGCAGCAGCAGCTGAGCAGCAGCAAGGCAGCAGCGACAGCATATCATGGTCAGATACTGCTTCTGTCTCACGAAGAAGCAGCATCAGCAGCAGCAGCAGCAGCTCGATCTCATCTCCTGCACTTTCCCGGTTGGCTGACCCGGACAGCGTCGCAGCAGCAGCAGCAGCAGCTGCTGCTGCTGCTGCTGCTCCTGCTGGTCCTACTGCAGCAGGCGAAGGCGAGGAGGCAGCTGCGGCCGAACCAGCTGCTGCAGCACGGCCAGCACCCTCGACAGAAACAGCAGCAGCAACAACAACAACAGCAGCAGCAGCAGCAGGAGCTGCAGCAAGAGAAGACACAGGGGCCTTTATTCTTCATATGACTCTCTCAGGCACACGGGAGGTGCAGCAGACTTTGCTGTCGCTGCAGCAGGTTGCTGCAGGAGCTGCTGCTGCTACGCGAGCTCACCGAACAGCAGCAGCAGCAGGAGGAGACCCTTCTGCTGGGGAGCAGCAGCAGCAGCAGCAGCAGCAGCAGCAACACTCTAAGACTCTCTTCCGTCGGCATTTCACCGCCCCACAGGAATTCCCCTTCGTCATTCGCTGCAACCTCCTTCAGGTCAGCCTCCTAGCTAGCTAGCTAGCAATGTGGCTAGCTAGATTAGCTAGCTAGCTAGATTAGCTAGCTAGCTAGATTAGCTAGCTAGCTAGATTAGCTAGCTAGCTAGCTGGAAACTGATTGTATGTTTGGTGCTGGCGTATTGCGTTTCCTCTGTTGAGTCTGCTGCTGCGGCTGCACTTGAACTGTCTCCTCATCTGCTGGTCGTTTCATCTGCTGCTGCTGCTGCATTTGCTGCTGCTGCATTTGCTGCTGCTGCTGCTGCTGCTGCGGTGCAGATCCTGTACGGAATGAGGAAGAGCCCTCGCTATGCCCCTCACTGGCGGCAGCTGGACTGGGTGCTGCAGTCTGCTGCGCGTGACCCTCGGATTGCTGCTACTCTTAAGGCGTGGCGAGCTGCTGCTGCTGCTGCTGCTGCGGGGTCTGCTGCTGCTACTGCAGCGGAGGCAGCAGAAGCAGAGGAGTGGCGCAAGCAAGAATCAGCAGCAGAAGAAACACCAGCAGCAGCTGCTTCTGCTGCTGCTGTCAGTTCAGTTGACACAGCAGGTGAAACGAAACAGCAGCAGCAGCAGCAACAACAGCAGCAGCAGCAGCAAGAGCAGCAGCAGCAGCAGCAGCAGGTGTCGGAAGATGCAGGGGAGGGCCGAGGCAGCGAGTGGCGCGAGGTGAGTCTTCAATGTATTTGTTTATATCTGTTTGTTTATATATATTTATCTTTTCCTTATCTTTATCTTTATTTGTTTCTCTCTTTGTTCATCTTCATTCGTTTGTTTTATTTATCTCTTTTTATTTGCTGCCGTTTATTTGTTCTGTGCACTGCTATCTGCAACAGCAGCTGCTGCTGCAGCTCCTGCATTATCTGCTGCTGCAGCTGCTGCTGCAGCAGCAGCTGCTTCTGCTCTTATACTATATATGTATACACACTGCTGCATGCATATATACATAATATGTATATATATA